AGGTCATGAAACCTGTCATCAGCACTGGCCTGGGCACTGGCAGCCTCAGAGGTGGGTAGCGGGATAGATGACTGGGACCCACTATTATGCTTTACTTCTTGGATCTCCAAGTCCCAGGGGGCTTCAAAGCTGTGCACATCCAGTCACTCTGCCAGAATCATCCAGGCTCACCTGAAGAAGGGCAGGCTGTCATGTACAATGCCTTCATTGGAATGATCATTGGCGTTGGTGAAGAGAGGAAACCAGCCTGCTGGCAGTGAGTCTGTTTCCACAGCAAATCCGTGATTCTGGGATGTCAGAAAGCAGCGCCCAGAGCCCACCAGCAAGCATGGCTGGTTATGGCCTCGGTTCCCATATCTAGACATAGAAGCAGCTGAGTCACAGGCCCCTTTCACCTGCCCCCTTCACCAATGAACCAAACCAAGCTCTTATTGAATCTAGGATTTTCACCAGCCCCCACTCTTGTTTCAATACTAATAAACACCAACTCTCTTCCCATTCCCAAGACTCCCCAACCCTCATGTCAGTAGTGTGGACCCTTCTTCTCCCCATAAGTCCCACCTCATCTTGTAAGTCTTGGCCCCAATGGCTAAGGCCAACAGCTGGTGTCCCAGGCAGATCCCAAAGACAGGCCGGGGATTAGGCTCAGATAAGACACGGTTCAGTGAGGATATTACACTCGGATATGAGGCAGGGTCACCAGGGCCATTACTCAGGAAGAGACCCTCATATTCTGGAGTGGGCAGAAAAGATGACATCAAAACCAGTATTCAACTAGAGACACACTTGCAGCCCTTACCGTTAGACTGAAGCCCTAATCTCCATTGTCTTCCCTACAACTCGTGTTGTAGGGACAGATCTCCCACCCATGCCGTCTGTCTGTGGTCACGTACAGACCCCAGCTACTCACCCCGGCTGTCCAACGCATGGTCCCATGGTACCACAGTGACCTCGGCCCCACGCTGGCACAAGCATCGGATCTGATTATACTTGAGGCCACAGTCCAAAGCAAGGATCCGAGGGGTACCCCCTGCATTGACTACCCATGGAGCCTGAGGAACAAAGGACAACAGTTAGTGGCTGTGATTAATAGGTACAGATATGCGCACACCTACCCCCAGTTCTGAGGCCTCTTCTACTTCTCCCTCGAGTGTATGGTGACTGTACTACAGCTTGCAGCACTCTCCCACTCTGCCTCTGTACCTTAATGGAGACCTCTGGCACCAGGGGGCGGGCATTGGGGTCTAAGAATGGCAGGGATGCAGGATCTGTCCCATCTGGAACCAGCTTTCCCAGCAGAGATCCTTGCTCTCGCAACTTCTTAGTCAGCTCTCGAGTGTCCACTCCTGTCAAAAGAGCACACTCTGAAGAGATCACACTCCCCTAACACAGTCATGCATGAGACTTCCAGGAGCACTTCCATTCCAGAGCCCCGAGTCACACACAGCTGTTCTATAGGCATCAAAATCCTAGGCCATCCTGATGGAAGTACACTACTATCAAGGATTCTTGCCAGAAATATCACAGATGAACTGCACCATGACTCTAGATCTGTTTACAGGAAAAGAACACCCTTAATGACACTATAGGAATGTAGTCAACAAAATGCAGACTCTGGGATACTCCAAAGAAAAACGGACCTGTTTTTGTCAAATAGGTTACAAGGCCCATAGATTAAAAAGACATATCAACCAAATGTGATGTATGGATCTTTAGATCCAGATTCAAATAAACAAACAGTAAAAAAAAAAAAAAAAATAGGTAATTGGAAAAACTTTAAACCTTACCTGGATATTTAATGATATTAAGAAATTATTGTTAATTTTTTTAAAGATATGATAATGTTGTTATGGTCATGTTTTAAAAAGGATTCCTTTCTCATAGATATGGAACTACTTATGGGTGAAATGACACAATGTCTGAATTTTGCTTCAAAATAATCTGGGATTATAGCAGTGGTAATGAAATAAATTTAGCCCTGAGTTGATAACTATAGAAGTTGGGAGTTTATTATACTATTCTCTTTTTTTGTATGTTTGAAATTTTCCATGTCAGCAAGAGCTAAATTCCTTGCCTGAGACCCCAATCGAAACCTTTCAAATAAGATACATTCCATCATACACTTGGACTCGAGTCTCAATAGTGCACAGAGATCTGCTCGATTCTTTCCACCCAGGCACCTGTGCTCTGCCCAAACACCCTTGTGCTTGCACCGTACCTTGCAAGCCAGGTATGCCATGCTGCTCCATCCACTCGTGCAGGGTGCGGATGGCGCTCCAGTGGCTGGGCGTGGGGCAGCACTCTCCCACTACCAATCCTGCCACATGGATCCCCGAGGATTCAAACCACTGTCGATGGAAGGAGATCATGAGAAGCCCGTATGCCTCCCTATGTAGTCTATTCCCATTGTCCAGCATGGACCTATACTTCGGCTACACTGAATGACCTGTCATTCCTTAAACACACTAAGCACCTCATGCTTTTGCCCTTTACAAGCAATGCAGTCTCCCATATAAAGCACTGAACACATGGGCCCAGGATGCCTGATTAATCATTAAAAATGACATTTGCCTTCTTTTTCCTTTATCCAAAACTGAGATCGCAAATCCCCTCTTCTGTGAAGTCACCCCAACTTACCCACTGCAGCTTGTGCCTCTTCCTTACAGCTCACCTAAGCTCATTTCCATTGTTCTTGCTATTTATGTGGTAATATGAATGTGTTTATGTGTCTTCCTCAGACAACTATGAACTCCTCAAGAGCAAGGTAACCGATACCTGGTAGCAGTCAACAAACATTGAGTGCTGGGGGAGGGGTAGTGACCATGAAAAAAGACAAGGTCCCTGTGTCACATGTTAATTTGCTACTTAGGGAGCATGAAAATTAATAAGGTAACATGTAAATAAACAAGATCATAATTACAGAGTGTGGTAAAAGCAGTGTAATACAGGTAGGTACACAATTCTTTACTAAATAAAAAGTTTAATAATACTAGGCATGATTATACCCTTCCCTTCACAGAGGATTATCATAAAAAAAAGATAACACAAATTTGTTACCCAGCAGATAAACATTTAATAACTAAAAAGAAAAACAGGTAATTTATGTAGGAGGGAGTGGCATATTTAAATCATATCTGCTTAGTGGTGGAGGATTTAAAGCAAGATGGATATTGAAACTGTTCTTTAGGGATCTGAAGATTAGTGTGGCAGAACCCTCTGTGGCCAGGAGGACTAGTCTGCAGATGGACAAATCTGTGTACAATGCATGTGGCACAAAAGCATCCATGGTAGTCTGGTGGCTCTCTAGGACGCCTTGCTCATCTTGGTTCTGTCAGAGCCTCAATTTTGCAGTTTTATAAAATCAATTTTGTGTGTTTACAGTTGACAAAGCTGAATACTGACGTGTTAACCAAGATACTGCATTAAAAACTAGAATGTGGTGTATTTATAGGTTTGTGATGAAGAATGGTCCTTTCCAGGAATAACAAGTGTGTCCCTTATCTAGAGGTCCCTTTCCCAAGTGTCAGGGTGATTGGGAAGGCAAGTTAAGAATTAAAGGCTCAGTAAGCCTGGATTAAGACAAAACAAGTTTGAGAAATACTGCACCTAGGCTATCATGATTTCTTCTATTAACTTGTGTTGATTTATTTTATTACTTGAACTCTCAGAGTGCAACTTAGTTTTCAAATTCCAGAGGAGGAGGGATAGGGGAAAACTCATTGTGGGAATAAAATGAGTTTTCTTGTCCAGAGGTAAGAACTCTACTGAAAAGTGGTAGAAAATGAATCAAGGTAAGTAAAGTTAGGTTTAGAAGATGATAATCAACTTCACTGGTTTGGTAGGTGAACTGGGAAGGGTGTCCCACTGTCACTGGAAATGTTGTGACCCCAGTTTCTAGTCCCTTTCCCACTAATCTTAAAGCATTACTCCAATCACAGGGCTCTGCTGCTAAAAAATCTTCACTGGTTCCTCACCAGAGCCCAGACTCTGGCTTGGCCTTCAGCACTGTGCCTCTCAAGGTACTTAACAAGCCTTGCACAGTACCTGTTCTATCGCTTTGGTGAGGACGTTCGTTCACTTCAGGATGCCTACCAGAATGTCAGTGTCTTCACTAACAATTAATAATTACTGATTTGAAAAGGATGGTAGAGAAAGCATTGGGTGTGGCTACCTTACTGAGACCGAACTCATCCACTTCATCTGCGGGGATGCCATAGTTGCCGATCAGAGGATATGTCAGCACTAAGATCTGTGCTTTGTAGGAAGGATCAGTGAGGGCCTCGGGGTAGCCGACCATGCCGGTTTGAAATACTGCAAGAAAGAGGCAGGACTCAGGCTCAGGTAGGGCATCCTTTGGAACACTGACCGGCGCGGTGAGAACGCCCCAGAAGAGGTTGCCTTGACAGTGAGGGATCAAAGGGCCTGGGCTGGGTGTATGGGAGCCGAATGGAAGGGAGGGGGTGTGCCAGCGGGAAAATGGCGGGGTTTGGGCAGGGCAGGCTGGGCAAAGAGGGGCAGCAGAGTGGGATGAGGTCGGCAGCCGGCCCGGGCTTGCTTACCCACTTCGCCGGCAGTCGACACAGCGGCCCCAAACGGCTGGCCCCGCAGGACCGACCCATCTTCCAACACCAGGGTCGCCATGGGAACACAGCTCAGAGACGTGGGCAAGCAGAGAAGCTGGAAGCCCAAGTTTCCGCCTATGCTGGAACCACGTGAGAACTGTGCGCCCAAACTCGGCCCACGTGGCTAATAACCGCGCGGGTGCCTGGAGCAAGCACCCGGCGGAAAAGGATGGGAGGCTGCAGACTGCGGCGGCGCGGGCCGCAGACGGCGTGAGGGGCGGGGCCGACACGTAAGGGGCGGGGCCAAGGCGGCGCGGGGGTTGGAGGACCCTGTCTATGCCACGCAAGGCCAGGGGAAACCTGAAAAGAAAGCGGACTTCCCCAAAGCGGTCCTTCCCACCCTAACCAAGAAACACACAAAGCCAGGGCGCCTTTCCCTAAAAGAAAAAAAAAAAAAAAGTTTATTATAGTTAACAGCACAAATGGGAACTGGTACTAGTCCTTTTCTGGACTGGAGTGACGCTCGGCATTGTGCAATTTTCCATCTTCCAATGGCGGCCTCAGCCTTGAGGACGACCCGCTGTCCAATCCGCCTAGGAATCAAATATCCCTGGCTGAGCTAAGATAGATCAGGATATTTAGGTCAGTAGGAAGACCTATTTGGTTCACGAAGCCTTGGCTTTTCGGCGTTGGGTCCCCCAAAGCAAGATGGATATGGATAATGTGGCGGATCCCAGAATCCCGAAGAACATAAGCAGCGGGAACGAGCCCTGTGAATAAAAGACCGAAAAAAAAAAAAAAAAAAGAAAAAGAAAACAAAAAAGTAACACCAAGGGCTACATCCTAACATCCAGTTCTTTCCTGGTATACCTATCCCCTCGTCCAGAGCAATTCTCTCAGTTTCCTTCTCTAGGTGATTTGCATCAGCTCCTGGTCTTACGGCTCTTCTTTCTGAGAGGTTCTTGCTCTATAGATTTCTCTTATACCTAACTAAAGGCCTAATTCCTTACCTGGCGCATACACTTGTAGCCATGGAAGCCATCGGCACAAACACACAGCAAGAGACCTGGACCATCAGGCACACAAGATCCATTCTCAGGACATATTTCTGGAAGCCAGAGAAAAACAGAACATCACTGGACCTCCTTAGGTATGTTTCTCAAATATCTGCTTCAACTTTAGATTCTCTCAATTATTTCTAGGTCAAAGTTAGAGAAAGAAGACTACTGATAATTAGAACGTCATCATCATCATCATCATCAATTTTACAGGTTTTTATTAAAATATAGCTAGCATACAATATCATATTAGTTTTAGGTGTACACCAGTTATTTAAACTTTATATACGTAAAGAAATGATCACCATAAATCCAGTGACCATCTGTCAGTCTCTATCTCAATATTACTGACAATAAAATGTTTTAATATCTTTTCTTTCCAAGGAGTTAAAGCCTCAGAAACCTGAACGAAAGGCGCATAAGCAATTTTACTGTCTTTCTGACTGAAAGGGGAGAATACAAAAGAGAAAAAGGCAGTTCCCAAAAGGGTGGAGATGAGATAGCATACCTGCATCCCTAGTGCTATTACAAAGGTTCCTTTGCCCCAGGCAGGTTTGGTTGTTTGTATACAAGGTGACAGTATTCCAGGCATTTATACCTCCAGGACAGTTGACATCTTGTGGCAGTATCCTGAAAACAACAGTCGTAATATGCAGTCCCAGGTTGCTGAGCTCACAGCACTGCCCCTCTCTGATTCTCTTCCCCACCCCTTACCCTTACTCACAGAGTCTGGAGCTGGGTGAAGCCATGGAAGCTGTCAGACAAGTCATGCTTGAGGGGGTTTGCTTGCAGGTCTCTGAAAAGCACACACTGTTAGCACTGTGCTCTAGGAAAACACCCTAGAACACCCTTCCAGTCACACATTGTCCAGGACTGGTAATCCAGTTCTCATTCTGAGTTATCCAAGTTTAGATTAGTATTCAAATATCATTTTAGGATTCCATCCTCAAAGACTTTCCCATCAACCCTTTGCCATAGTCACCTTTTGGCAGGGAGGATAACTAACCACTTACATGATGATAGCAGTATGTGCCTGAGGAAAATTTAGACCTAGGTCCTTCAGAGAACAGTTTTGGAGATCCAGCCTGATGAAATAAGATAATCAGTGTAACTATGTGTCTCTCCTCTATCCACAATAAGCTAATACAACCCCTTTTCTGCTAATATTAGTTGAACGCAACTGTGTTTAGGGCCACAAACTCGGTGCTGTAGTAGATGTTTTAATTCTATACCATCCAATTTAGTCACCACTAGTTTCATGTAGCTATTTAAATTAATTTAAAATAAAAAAAAATTCAGGCCCTCATTTGTATGAGCTGCATTTCAAGTGTTCAGTAACCATTAACATGTGATCAGTGGCTCTGTACTGGAGAGTACAGATATGGTACATTTGCATCACGGCAGAAAGTTCTTTGCATCTGTGCATATATGGGAAATTTGTTTCTCGTCTAGGTCAGTGAAACTTACATCATGATATGATTCTCAGATCCACAAAGGACCTTCAAATGAAAAAAAATGCAAATCATATAAATGAAAGCTTTTTCCAAGTGCATTTTCTATCACAGATTGGATGTAAAGTAATGAATATTAAAGACCACGCCACATTATTTTTTTCTTCAGTATCTACTGCTGTCTGTCCTTTTATTCTACAAGTATTTACTGAATGCCTACTAACTGCAAAAATTTGGAGAATAAAAAACCCCTCAACATCTTAGCTTTCCAATGGCTTACAATGTAGTAGGGGAACAAGGCCACCACGAAAAATAAAAACAATATAAACGTTAAATTACAATATGAAAGAAATCACAGGACAGTATATAAATTTGAGTGGTATAATCACTAAGGATAAGTGAAAGTAAAAAAATTAAAAATATTACTCTGATATTTAGTAGTAGGAGGAATTCATAAAAGATGTTGAAATTAAAGGATGGATATGTACTACTTTGGTGGGGGAAGGCGATTTCAGGTAAGGAGAGGAGCCTGAACAAAGAAATAAAGGTACAAAGCTTTTGGAGGTAGGCCAAAGCCAGACCTTCATGAAGGGTTTGAGTGGACAAATAATTGGAAATCTAATTTTCAAGCCAGAGAGTGATAATGGGAAAATTTTGTTTTTCAGAAAGTTTAACACAGAGATGTACTTAGGTAGATTGGGGAAAGAGGAAAATGGAAATAAGACATTTGACATTTTGAGTTTGAAGTGAGGGTATTACTCAAGAGGAAATGTTGAACAGGAAGCCAGAGGTACCCACAGTTACCTGGGGTTTGGAGAGAGATCAAAGGATACTAAAAGAGATCTAGTTTTGGGAGATACCTGCACAGTGGTTACAGTTGAAGCTATAAGAATAGGTGGATTCTCAAGAGTGTAAAGGGAGAAAATGCAGGGACTAACCTGCATAAGGGGGCAGGAAGAAGAATTTGTTCAAAGATGAACATGAATTAATCAGAAGGAAGAAAACCATATTAGTACTGTCTTAGAGGTTAAGCAGCTCATTTCATGAAGACACACAGTAAATAATCCAAAGAATTAAACAAAAGGAGTTAAACAAAAGAACAAAGCTTTTTTTTAAAAACAAAGCTATAAAAGCCTTTTTTTTTAAACAGGCAAAAATTATGACTTTTATGCAGTTTCAACCAGGAATAACCACAAGATTATTTACCTAGCCAAAAATGCTCTAACAGATTTAAAAGTCTGCAAATCATCATTTAGATGCCTCCAAAATAGGCACAAATATTTATCCCAAAAGCCAACCAGGCAAGCCTTGAGGAATCTAACTTGGGAACATTTTTCCATTATCCATGGATGTCTTCTCCCTCACCCCAGAATGGTGCCCTTCTGATTCAGGCAGCAGCGGGCGTGCAACATTAGCTCTGGTGTCTGCTTACAATAAAGGGCCACTTTTGACAAATTTTGCACACTCCCTGGACACTGGATGCATATCTGCAGAAGAGAGAAAACTATTAGGATTCCAGAAAGCCAAGACCAGAACAAACAGGGATCAAAAGTTAACTGCCAGTATTCCTCTCCAGAATTCCTTTAACATAGAGCAAGAAAGTGTCCTACTTTTCTATCAGGTTTGACTAGGACATGCATTTTTTTCCCCCTAGAACCAGGTGCCCAATCAGAGCACCAGACTTTCTGCAACCAGACCTTACCCAGAGAAGGCGCTCATCTTTGAGGATCACTGTTTGAACATATTTATTATGTCCTCTCCAGGGACTTCTCAACTTAGCCCCGGTGTGACTGGGTGTAAAAAGGACTGCAGGTACACAAAGAACTCATCAAGCATTACAGAAAGTACAGTCCTATCACCGCACGATATGCGACATTTGTGCGTGGAGAGCCAGCAGAAGAGCCAGAGGACTCGTCTGTACAAAGAACAATTTAATATTATTCAAAGATAAAGGAGAGAGAAGGTCAAAGTTCAAAGGCTTTTGGACGTAGGCAATGCGAGGGCGCTGGGAAAACTGTGCAGCCTGAGTAATCAGGAGCGGGAGCCGCCTGCGCTACCGCTGGGGAGGCCTCAGGGTCGCAATCAGAGCTGCCGGCCCGCAGAAGAGAGCCGAGGGCGAGCGAGCGCGACACACGGCTGGCCAGCAGCTCTGCTTCAATCCAACCTCTAACTTGCTTCTATACCTCGGGTATCGCCAGAGCCCTTTCCACGCCCAGAGCGAGGAGCAGGGCCGCAGCCCAAGGTACCGGGATCGAAGGACTGCCAGGCCCGCAAGGGAACATTTTCTCCCTTCCTTCGTCCTTCTCAGCAGCTCGCGAGACTTGAGTATGTGGCTCCGCCCCACTCCCGGGGGGTGGAGTAGCGCTGAGGGCCAGTAGGCCTGGGGCGGGCTGGGGGTAGGGGCAGCTCGCGGAGGTCAGCGCTCCTCTTCCACTCCCTCTACTTTTCCCCCTTTGAAGGCCTCCCTGACGCCGCTCTTTCACCCCTTCGGCCCTCGCGCCCAGACGCCGAGGTCGCGTCTCCGCAGTGTCTCGGTGCCACTCCATCTGCTCTCAGTAAACATGGCGGGGCGGGCAGGGGACAGGTCCCGCTGTCACCCGGCCCACGTGTTGCGGGCCGGGTTCTTCAGTCGAAGCCAGACCCACACGTGGAGACCCGGCAGGTGGGCCGGACGGGGGCGGGCCGGACGGGTGTGGGCCAGTACAAAGAAGATCCCAAGAACGCTTCAGAGCTGGAAAGAGGGAAGAGGGGAAGAGGGGAAGAGGGGCGGGGCGAGCCGGTCGCCGGCTTGGGGGCCCGGGAAAATTTTAGATGCGGGTGGCGAGGTGGCAGTACTGTTCGCGTGTGGAAGGAAGGTGGGAAGCCAGGAAATAGAGTAAGGATAATGTAGGAGTGGAGGGCATAGGGCAAACCCAGCGGGAGGGAGACGAGCCTGGGGACGCCCTGAGCACCCTGTCACCTTCACCGCTGTCCTGAGACCACGCGGCGTCCGGAGTCTGGCGAGGAGGTAGGCGAGGGGGTAGATGCTTCCCTAACTCATTCATTTCCTTTGCCTTCCCAGAAAAAGGGAGTGATACTGATCTCGGGAAGAACGACGGGGATCTTCTTAGCTTTGGCTGAGCCACGGAGGTAAGGGGAAGGCGAGCGCTGTCCCAGGGTGGCCCG